GAGAGTGAGAGAATATCTATTTATGACAGCGTGTGGGAGCAGATGTGGGCATGTAAGCATATGCTGCTGCTATATTCTCCTCTCCACATTATGTGTGTGCTTTACAAAGCGTGTAAATCACGCAGTATTTTTATAGCAGGTGCTTTCTCACTTCTTTTAGCCTCCACACCTCCTTCTGATGAGTAGAGGTCCAGCTGATAGAGGACATCATCAGTGTGACATCATCAACCTGGCAAAAGTGGTATTTGCAAATACTGGTTTGTCATGTCTTTAAAACAATGTGCAGCTTTGATGATGCAAGCAGTATATTTGTTTTCTATCATTTATAGCTCATGGGCTGGTCTGAAATTTCATTATTTTTTATTATCATTTATCACATCTTGTCTTCATTTAAAACAATGTTGTACTCCATAAAGGAAAAAAAATACTATCAATTATTATTTTCAGCCCCTTAAGTACAAAAATCTTTCTTTGTTTGTTTAGTTCATTGTAAATATAATACTGTTTAAGATCTGACTCTTGGGGAAAACAAAACTAGATTAAAGTCGTCATTTTAGGCTTTTGGAATATTTGATGAGCATGTTTAAGCAATTTTGTGAAAATGTTCTGAACAATAATTGAATACTGTTTAACATGAGATAAGATGAATTGAACAGCTGCAACAACAACAACAACAGTTAGCGTACTAACTGTAAATACATAAACTGATCACAAATGAATGTCGGGATTAATATGAAATAATAGTGGGACAATATAATCTGAAATGAGGAATACAGAAAGTTGAATCAGTTTTAATGTGATAGATGTTCTTATTAGATTTTAAGCATATTGACCTTCATCTTTACGTCACACATTTATATTTAGCATACTAAGTCTTATAACTGAAAGCTGTTACATGTAGGTCAATTTTAGTCAAACATTTTTTTTTCTGCACACGGATATGTTCGGGTACATGTTAAACCACCGGCAATCCTGATTTGTCTGGAATTTAGATTAAAGTGACCTTAATCCATCACCTGACTCCACCCAACATGTCAGCAGAGAGAGAGAAACCATCGATTGCCAGACATGAATTATTGCGTTGCCGTGGTGACGTTCGGAGGAGACGAGCGGATCAGTGAGTGAACTCGTAGGCCCGCTCGGATTTGGCACAATGGCGAGGAACGCCGCCAGAAAATCCAACTCTGTCTTTTCCTAATTGTTTGTTTCCAACCCACCAATTCCATTTAAATTCCTCACTCTTCTCTCCGGATACAAATGGAATGACACCACACTACTGCACCCACTATTTACTCCACTGTGCGTCTGACTAACAGCCAAAAGCACGATCTATATTTACTTTCATACATGAAGTAGCTGTGAATACATTTTGGATGTGTAACTATTTTTTTTTTCTCAGCTATATACTTCACGTGTCCCTATTTTTACGTGAAATGGCTGTAATCCAGCCGTCTCAGCCCAGACTAATGCTGCTGTACAACACTGTCATCAATGTCTGGGCCAAACATATGCAGCATCACGTGTATAAACACACACGCGCCAAATCAACAAGTGCTCCCCGAGCTTCCGTCGAGTCGCCTCCTCAGGAATCAACATCCAGCGCTTTGGCTTTTCCCCTTGAAGTCGGTTCAATGAGGGAAAGAGCGGCAGGGCCGCGTGACACCGAGCCCGGCACACTGAGTGGAGAGAGAGAGAGAGAGATGACTGCTACCACCAGGTCACACAGTTCTCCTCAACTGATCCTCTGTGGTTCTGTTTTAAAGATCTGCAGGAAAACTGCCGCCAAACCAGGCCGCCACTTATTTGTAGTAAAAGCTCACAGATAATACGCAGATCATTAAAGCGGATTACAGATCAGTACTTAGTATTTTACCTATTTATGAAACAAAATATCACCATATATTGATACATTAAAGATATCATATTGGGCATGGTAACAAAAAGCATTAAATACTGTAAATACTGTGCATCTGACTGGGAGGCTATTGATTACAACAGATGAATCTAAATCTGGCTTTCCGATCTGCCCGTTCAAGTCACATAACTCAAGGTTATACTAAATAATGACCCATCGCAATCTCTGTTTTAGTATTGATAAATGTATTGATTCAAGCCGAAACAATTAAATTCAACTATGCAAATATTTTGGTAATCAATAGTTTTTGTGGGTGCCTTTTTTTGTGCCTTTACAACCACTCACTTTGTCCGATGTGATATTAAACATTGGCTGATGGCCGGATGAAACACGTCATCTGAAGACGGCGTCATTCGGTGGACATTTTATAGACAAACGATTGATCGAGATGAATTTGAAGGCGTTAATCCAAGATAAAAAATGGTTGCAGCTTCATCATTGATCTGACGCGGAGGCTGTTGTTGTTTGTTGTTGGCGAATAATTAATTAAACATCTAGCCACATAATAATGAAAGCTACCCAATTGCACATCGATAGTTACACAAGCCCAGGGTCAAATCTGTACATGCAAAGTACTTTTTCAAGAAAAGGAAGCAAACTATCAAAAGCTTTTAAATGAATTCGTGTCAATACTGTTGCTCTCACTTCTGCCAATAATAATCAATAAAACCCAGTGCGCATTGGAAGCCATGTCGAAAGCACCTCCTTTCATTTGATTAGCAAGCTCTATAAAGTGCATCAAGCGTGACTTTCAGCATACTCACAACAAACTGTAAAACGTCTAGGATGAGAGAAGTGTGGCGATTCTGCCTTTTTGTTTTGCCGAGGATTTGCAAGGCGCCGTCATGCTCAGTGAGCAGCAAAGCTCCTGGTTTTTGGCCGTAGAGAGCGAGAGGCTCTGATAGCGTGAGCCCCTGTTGGACGGATCCCATCAGATTGAAGGAGGATAAGCTGCTCGGGCGATGCGGCCCGAGCAAAGCTCTATCCCGGCGCTGTCATTTTTTTCCAAAATGGGGGTATCTATCATTCCTCTGACGGCGGGGTTTTAATTATTAGACGGGGAGGAGAAATGGGCCGTGCAGAGGAAAGTGATGGGCTGGAGAAGTTGTCTCCGGGCATTAGCATTAATAGTGTCTCTGAGTCTGTGTGATGGTTGGAACACCAGCAGGCAAAGCACTTCAGCTGTTTCTCGTCCAATCAGATCCGTGCACCGGTGCAGCGCGGCCATTTTAACCAGTTCAACTGTATTGGTTCAAACGGTCCTACTTACACCTTCTTTGTTTTTCAGGTGAAACAATCAAAGCCAAAGAGAGACTTGTGTATTTAACAGAAACCGGTCAAACTTGGTATGAGGAGCCTTCGAAGCGCATCCAAAATGTCTACAATTCACCTTGAAATCGCTCGTTGATTAACAAGAGGAAAGCAGACAATCTCCCCCCTGGAAGCGCCAGATGTACCGTATATGTAAATCCCTTATCTACTGTTATCGGCGCACTGCGCTCCGTTATGTCGATGTAAATGTGGCGGATTGCTTTGAAGTAGGACGAGGGATGTATATATAGCAGCAAAGCAGCATCTCGCGAGCTGTTTCTGTGCGGTGTGTATTTAAAAGCGTACATTATCGCATACTGTACATCTCTGCTTTATCCGCTCTGCCGCGCCGAACAGGCCTGATGCAAATCCCCACTGGTCCGTGTAGCACTCTTGTATCGCAGATGCATGAGACCCTCACGTGGTCTGAAGAGGTAAAAATAGTTTTAAAACAACCAACTAAATAAAACATGTGTTCTAAAAACCCTCTGCAGGAGCTTCCCTTTTACTGCCTGTGTACGTTTTAACCTGCAGGTCAAAGTGAGCTCAACCTTGAGTGCCGCAGGAGCTTTTACATTTCACAGCCGGAGACGCGAGTGTGTCTCTCTCTTCCCCCTCTCTCCCCCTCCCTCTCTCCCTCCCTCTTTGGATTTGCACTTCAGGTCTGGCCGCCTCGTCTTCGTCGGTCGGGGGCCCACATCTCTCTCTCTCTCTCTCTCTCTCTCTCCTTGTCACTATCCGCTCTCGCACCATCTATCTGAGTCCACTTCCATCTTCTCATCCGCACCCATCATGCTCCCGCCCTCCATCTCCTCGTATCATCCTCTCCTCTGCCGGCTTCGTGCTCTTTTCCGCGCGTCCCGTTTGCCGTTGTCTCTGTAGAACAGCGCGCCGGCTGTCAGCGGTGCCCCGGCGTCACGGCACATGGCTGCGGCATCGCGGCTATAAATAGCTCGGCCTCATGGTGCTCGGTCCGGGGCCGGGACGGAGAGAGCCAGAGGGAGAGCAATCTGCTGTCTCCCTCAAGAGAAACGCTCCAAGGGGAAAGGCGCAAATAAAGACGGCTTACGCCGCGCGGCCTTTCGCCGCCGAGACCTTCATTGTGCTCGGTGAACAAAGTGCTTCTGAATTTAATCGTTGTTTTTTTTTCCCCCAGACGAGCCCGGGCGAACGTCTGGTCGGGAAGCGGTTCAAGTACTAATCCCCATTCAAGCGTAATGCACAGAACAGCGAGGTGTAGGATAACAAGGCTCTCGGGATCCACACCAATGACTGTCGACGTTTAACCGTTGTTCTCCGTCTCCGACGGTGCACGAGGCATCGCATCCCATTTCACAATGAATTATGAGAACAGACGATTTGTGCTTAAATGAAGGTGTGAGGTGTGTTCAACACCTGGAGTCTGAGCTCATTAACCAGCTTCGAGCTTAACCAATACCTGTCCAGAAGTCCCATCTATTAACTACCTATTTACAAACTAATAAAGCCAGAAACACTTTTGACTTCCTGCGGCTACTTCACAATGAGCACATTTATCCCCTGAAGGGCGCCTGTTAGTAAAAGCTGTAGTGGTCCAGTCACAATGAGAGACACTCGGAGTCAATTGGAAATCAATGCGCTTTTCAAAGATCGCTCCCAAAAGTCAGACTCTGTCCGCGCGTATTGCTTTTCCCCGACAATAAGTGTTAAAAAGTGTTATTTTGAAGCTGATTTCAAGGTTTGTGCATTTGGCGCATCCCGTCTAAAAGTGGCGCTTGTGTCGTTCTGCTTGCAGGGGACAGTATTCCCAAGGAGAGCAGCCCCTTCATCAACAGCAGCGATGCGGCAGCAGAGAAGAGCCAGCAGTATGACGGCAAGAACATGGCTCTGTTTGAGGTACGGCGCCGCTCTTCTGCACACGCGATCCGGCATGATCACAATCAGCAGGCTACACCCTCGGTCTCGTGCTTCAGGGACTGAGTAGTCGCTCCGACATCTATTAATGAGAGTAATTACTGAGCGAAGGACATGTTGCAATCTCAGGTTAATGCAGGCGAGCACCACGCTGTAAAGAAGACCATTCGCCAGAGCTCTGCACAATTGTATTTACATTCTGCCCCCAGTGGGATTTTTAGATGGAAGGTAATCAGAAGGTAAACAATATGTTGTGTTAGCCCTTTTTTGCAGATGGGTTTGAATTTGCAAGAATACCTGAAATAGTAACAGTTATGAAAACGTAGTACTACTACAGGTAAGAATAAATAAAGGTCACAGTCCTACAGGATTAAAATGCTTTGCATTTCCTTCAAAAGCCTGATGAAAACACTAACTCCAGCCCTCTGGCTTTTGTGCGTTCATCTGTGCAGGAGGAGATGGACACCAGCCCCATGGTGTCGTCTCTTCTCAGCAGCCTGGCCAACTACTCCAACCTGCCCCAAGGAAGCAAGGAGCACGAGGAGGCCGAGAACAACGAGGCCGAGTCATCGCGCAAGAAACCCGTCAAGGTATTTGTCAACGTCCATGTATAGACGCGATAGAGTGCACGCGACAGTACACACATGTACGCAGATTTGTTACATTCTTGCAGCAATCAATCAAATGCTCTGACAGAAAAAAAAGAAAGCGAAAGGATCCTGTCGCAGGTCTGTGTTAAGCCCAGCCAGTCGATCTAATGATCGGGCGTTGAGCGGCGCGTGTGTTCTGAGCGGCTGAACGCGGTGGATCAATGTGTGCTGCAGCATGGACGAGGACATGCTTCCCTTTAATCACACATTCAGCGTCTAAGGCAGCAGACGGACGTCTTCGCAGGTTTATGGACGCATGTACAGTAGCAAGACATAAAACACATTTTAAAGAAAACAAAAACGTGCGACGAATAGATTAAATTGAATTCATTCATTCTAATTTCATTCCCAAAATCAGAAATTCGGAGGAATAATGATTGGATGATTACAAAATTTATATTTTTTCTTTGTTTCATTTAGCAAAAAAGGTTAGTTTAGGTTTGTTTTAACAAATACGAAACTATGGGAGAACCACTTAACAATTTATTTTCAGCAATATATATCATCATCATCATATTTGTTCATTTTATATCTTCTCTCTCCATCATATTCTGGGCTGTGCTGAACAGAACAGGATCAAATTTACTGTAAACTTTGCTGATTTTTGTCCTCTATAGCAGCAAAGACTACAAATTCCTGATGCATGAGGATGTCCACACCGGATAAAGTCATTTTGATAAATCCTTATATTCCTCCTGAAAATCAATAAGAACTGCAGAGATTATCTTGAAGCGTGCCGCAGCAAAACGAAAAACCTGGATGTGTTTTCTGAGGTCAATAAGTTTAATCAGGTTAAGTGTATCGTAACGCATGCAGACTCTGACAAGTTTCCTTACTTTTTTCTTTAAGTAATGTCTTTTTTTCTGGCCATTCCTCCGCAAAGCCGACGGTTTGATGTGATCCTGCAGACCGATCCTGTTCTCTTTGGTTCCTCATTAATGCGCTCCTTGCCTGGTGCACTCACGTAACAATGGATCTAACAGTTGTCCATTAGATCATGTGAAACTTTTTTTAAATGAATGTTGATCATATTGAGGGTCTTTCCTGAAAACGTTTTTTATTTCACTCTACCAATTGTTACCATCTTATGCAGGTCCATCGCATTTTAATTTGTATTACATTACATGTCATTTAGCGGACGCTTTTATCCAAAGCGACGTACAATAAGTGCATTCAACCATAGGGTACAAACTCAGGAGAACAAGAAACAAGAAAGTGCAATTTCCTCAAAAAAGCCAATTTACAATTTGCTATAGATGAGTGACGTTACAAGTACAATTTAAGTGCTACAATTTGTTAGTCTTTAGTCGAGGTAGAGTCTGAAGAGGTGTGTCTTTAGTTTGCGGCGGAAGATGTGAAGGCGCTCTGCGGTTCTGGTGTCTTCAGAGAGCTCGTTCCACCATTTCGGCGCAAGGACAGCGAAGAGTCGAGATCTAGTCGAGTGTTTTGCTCTCAGTGAGGGAGGGACGAGTAGTTTTGCAGATGCAGAGCGGAGAGTGCAACAAATAAGGAAGACATTCAGGCGACATTCAGCGTGTGAATACTTTTGCAATGTACATCTCTACGCTGTGGATGTACATTTGTTGCATTGTCTTTTGCGCACGCCGCGCAACTTGTTCGCCCGAGGGGCCGTTGTGCCTGTTGCCAGGCGATGGCCATTAAATGTAACCAAATATAGATTTGTCATTTCTGTTACATCATTAAACCCTAATGGTTGAGTTTCTGGATGTTTGGGTAACACACTAACTGGAGAGAAAGAAAAACTCCAACCGGTTTAGAAGCTGTCACTCATTCTCTGTTGATTTTATAAATCCCATGTTCGTGTTACTGGATTGCATCTTAAATGCCACTCATTAGTGCGTCCCCTCCACATCATCCCCTGGTATTTTCAGCTGTTGGGTGTTGAGATTGACGGCAGGAAGGAGTCCACTTGATCGACAGACAGCCAGCTACATTATTAATCCTGTGGGAAATGGTGGTTTTAAAAGCGAGGCGGGACGTGACATTGCAACGCGGCGATGAGAAGAGATGCTGACAATGATGACGCCAATGCAAATAAATGAAAGAATCGCTCCCAGAGGAGGCAGACCGGGGAAAAATTGGCTGATTCAACATCAAGACATATTTCTCATGAAAGTGAAACTGTAACCGCATGTGAGGTAAAACATATGAAGTTTAGACATTGAGTGGCAACAGCAGTGACACGTTGACAGCTTTTCTGTGACCTTTGACCCAGCCTGTCATTTTAGGTGGCCAATCAGCCTGATTGTTTTCTCCCTCTCTAATATTTGGTGTTGTCTGCGCCGTGTGTCAGTCAGTTTCCACCCTTTTCCTTGTGACTGAGGTTTTCTGTATTTTTCTTACTTTAAGGTAAGAAACTGATGACGGTCTTGCATCCCAGTGTACATATCTGATATATTCCCTCACCATGAATCCAGATGAGGATATACACTAGTAAAGTGCATCAAGATGGAGGATAGATTTTCATCCCATGGTTTGTTTGCTTCATTTTCCCACAGTTTTCCTCTATATGTCTTCAGAGTTCGGCCCAGTCTAAAAGATCTCATCAGCTATTTCATTGATTCATTTCCACCTTTTCTGCGTCATGGTTTAGTCCTGGTCTCCAGAAGATAAAACCCCTTTGATTTGGGAATCCTCAAACCTTTCGTGTAGCGCCACCAACAGGGAGACACATGTAGTGTGGAGTGTATTTTACAGAGTGTGACCCTGTTGTTGGCACGTGAGACCCTTCATCACTTAGCCCAACTGGTTCCTTTGGTCAAACCATTCGCGTCCTTATGTTGATGTTAACAACACACCTGTAAAGTTTCATGACTGCATTTTTTCGGGGGTGTCACATTGGTGCGTCTACGAAATCGGTCCACGGTGAGCGTTCCAGACGTGCACACACAGTGTCTACCGGAACTACTTTCCAGAGAAGAAATAGTCGTCATGAAAACCATCCATCCAAATTGTACAAATATAGCAGGTAGCAGCTGGGAGTTGTGTCTGTTCCTCATTGGTATATTCCCCCATTATCCCAGTGGTCCCATACTGTATGTAAGGTGCATTTGTCTGGTTCCACTAACACTGGGAGCAGGCCTAATCTTCCCCCTGTCGCCCCCTTTGATACTTTAATTAGTCTGCATGCTACACCAAGCCGCTGCTTCTCCAATCAGCAGCCTTTTCCGCAGGAAATCTCTCCATCGCCACGAGAGGCTTTTCATTAAGGCAGCCTGTGGTGTTTTATTGCTCACACAGCGGCCCCTCTTTCTCTCTCTTTGTCTCTCTCTCTCTCTCTCTCTCGCCTTCCTTCTCCATTTCTCACTCCACTCCGTCTCCCTCGTCCCCGCTCTCCATCTCCTTCATCGCCGGCCCCTCGAGTTAGCGAGTGAGTCGTGAGGGAGGCAGACCGAGGCGGCGGCCTTTCTTTGTCGCAGTGTGAAAGCCAAGAGAGGAGATTTGGTTCGGGTGCGACGCGAGGGGGCAGTCGGGAAATCGCTCGTGTTAAAATGGAAACCAGTCACAGCTAATATGCTTTTCTCTTTTTTCCCCTCATTGACATTTTTTTTTTTAGATTTGCATCCGTGAGACACAGCGGTAATTCAAGTGTTATATTAGCAGTGCAGGCTTTTGGAGCATTTAGAACGTTTAACACTACACGTTGTTTTGGTTTTAGATCGGAAACGTCACTGTTTAGGGGTCACTGTTACCGCTGTCATCAAGAGAGCAAAGAGCAAACGGACAAAACTAGCAACTAGCTAGTGAACATATTGGAACATTTAGCAGCTAAAGAACCAGATCATTCCCTCAGTAGAAAATGGAGACCCAAAGACACAACTGTGGGCATATGATCAGCAAATGGCCAAAGACTCCAAATAAATGCTGATGAGCAATAAGTAAACGCATTATATCAGCTTTACAAGGAAACAATATGTCGGTGACAGTTTATGTCACTTTTGCAGCTTGTAACGCTAAAGACCTAAATCAATAAATGGAGGTTCAGGAACTTTCTCGTTTCTCGTTCGATACTTTCAAATACCTCCTAGATTTAACCTTTTTTTCTCTTATCTTATTATTTTTTCATCTTGCATTTTACATTATTACCATTTTACAGTATTTTACAGTTTTTTCCACAGCCGAGCCAGGTTGCTGCTGACCTGATTTTCAGTGTGAACCTATTGTTCACAAGCACGCGTGCATTATTAGTGAGGAAGACTTTCAGGCTAGAATATGACGGCGCGGCTTAATAGAGGCTTCACCACTAGTGGGGAACACACAAGGCTTTGTGGGGTCTTTTAACCTAGAATATTCTAGTAACACATGTAAACACCATTTCGTGGCGGCGAGCTTTCAGCGCCACAGAGCACGTTTGGCCGCGGCGGTCGCTGTTGTTGGACGGGCGATGCTTCCACACAGAGGGAGGACCGCGGAGCGACCGGGGGGGGGGGGCGACGTTTCGCTGGCCTCTCCCCTCGCTGTCTATTTAATTATTCAGCACACCTGAGCAGAAACACATTTGCCCTATCAGCTCCGGTTTGGGCAGCAGAGCGCGGAGATGGCGTTACAAGCCTCCCTCGCCGTCATTAGCCTCCCCCCTCTCCCTCCGCCGCCTCGCTTCATGCGTGCTCTCCTTTATTGCACTTCTTCCACACCTGCTCTCCTGTTTCCTTGTGTCCTCTCTCCTCAACTCGGCCCACCTACTCGCTGCCTTCTTTTCCTGTTGAGTCCTACATCCCTTCACTCTCTCATAACTTCGAACTTCGCCAGACACAATTCAACCAAAAAACATTTGCATGGATAACATATTGGTGAAACTAGTTTGATCTAGTGTAGAAAATAAGACAAGTAATTCCTGGCATTGAATTTGAGCCTATAAAGCTTCTTAATACTGAATCGGTACTCGGTACCAGCTGACAGTATACAGTATAGACAGGATA